AATATTTAAACATTTTCTTCAATGACTTTTTGGGCCGTCAAGTTTCGATCCCTTAGACAGCCTATGTAGCAGTGATCCAGCTCTCAAATTTAATCAAAAATATCTTCATTTGTGTTCCGAAGACGAACGAAGGTCTTACGGGGTTGGTACAGCATGGGGGTGAGTAATTAATGACTTAATTTTCATTTGTGGGTGAACTAACCCTTTAATTTAAATGACATTTCCAGGTCTAGAAATCACACTTTCAAAATTTGTCCACCTCATAAATACAGGTTTTTCGAGACTCTGGGAACCCTGCTTCTTCAAAGGAAACAAAGTGTTCTTGGGGAGGTGAATTAAAATAAGAAATATCTTGATTATTAGTTGATTTAGCTTGCTTTAAAGTTTGTTTTGTCTTATTTTAATCTATCTCGAAACCCCTTTGGACCTTTCCTGAGGGCCCCTGGTGGGCCCTGGCTCCCTGTTTGAGAATTAATCTTCGTTTTTTTTTAGATCAATTGTCGATAACTTGTTTTCCATGTCATTGGCAAACATATGGTGTGATGTGCAAGCATTACAAGCATTTTTTTTCTGACAGATCCTAATGTTGAAACTATCGGCCCCTCTCTCAAGTTATGAAAAATGGCAGATAATTGGGGAATTATATGGTTGTAGGGTGAAATTAAACTCTTGTCAAGTGCGTAGGAGGGCATGCAAGGAAAAAAAAAAAAAAAACAGAACATTTTTGACCACATATCTGAGAGGTTGAAAGCAGCGGGGATGTCCCGGAATACCAAACAGTTTCTAATTAGTATTAAATCCAAAAAAGAGACAATGCAAAGATTCATGATATTTACAGACCTTATCTGTTACTACAGAGATATACTGAACCCTTATGTTTCATTAATACGTTTTAGCCTAAGTCTTTTCAAGTTTAATCTGGTTAAGACTTGACACAAAGTGATGATTCACAGATCAGATGTTTGAATGGGTAAGTTGTTTTCTCTGTAACTACTGTCGTCCATCTTTGTCAACCAGTTTGATTCATTCAGGTTGATTTGTGGACCGTTTACAATCATGAAAGCCAGGCATTGTCACATTGTCAGGTAGCCAGTGTTTATTCCTCTGAACATCCGCCGATACAGTATTTGTGTGAATAAGAACAATATGTAAATGTGCAAAAGTGTAATAAACTACTAAGAGGGACAGAGCAGAACTGTGTAGATGAGTGAGTCACGTCTTCATGAAGCTGAGGATAACCGGCCGACTAAAGGTCAACCATGCATGAGAGAGATGTGATGGAGAGATAATGGAAGAGAAAGAAAGCAATACGGAGAGGTAGAGGAGTTACAGAGACATGGGTATTGAGGGGGATTGTTTCTTGACAAAGAACATCTCTGTCCAACGTGGTGTCTGGTGTCCCTTCTCCAGTGATTCAATATGTGTGAGTGAGTGTGTGCTTATGGACTGGCATATTATCCAGATATTTCAGGAGGAAAAGGAACCGGATATGAATTGAGAAATTGAATTCCGGGTCTGTTTACCTGCAAACACAATTCCAAGCCTCATAAGATACTCAAATATTGTTTTCAAGACAATACACTAGTGGCATCTGTTAAGGACAAGATTAGATTGTCATTCACTTCATAGGCTTGTAGTTCTTTCCCTGATCCTTTAGTACTTAGCCATTAAGCACACAGACTGATTTTTTGACTGAAGACTGACCGATTTTTAAAAACTTTTTAGGTATGCTCCGACCAATCCAATTCAAGCTGTACAGTATATAAGTGATATGTAAAATCTTTGTTGGCTATTACCTTTAATCCCTTATACCCTGAATGCATTTTAATGATTTTATGTGATTTCAAGTGGCATACTTACTTTTAGTATCTCTACAAAAAACAAGGTATCATCAAGTACATGGTTTAATTTGGAAGAAAAATACAACACTGATGAGAAAAACTAATGAAATGCATTAATTTATTTTGTGATTATTCATGCTTGATATGATGATTATTAGAAAGTATATATGAGAGGTCATAAAATCATAGGTCATAGTTTTTAATGATTGTCCAGCACTGTTTCAGCTCTGCACTCCTATTCTATGACGCACAGTAAATCAAGACCTGTCAATCTGAGAGATCAGTTCAATCCAAGAGCGCTCCAGCTGTAAAACAATGTCCGATTGTTCCCGACACCACGTCCCTTTCCAGCATTCTCAAGATCCAGTTTCAATTGGTTGAACTTTCAAACGACGTTAGAAAATACTGAATCCTGATTGCAACATTAACCAGGAAGTCCTAGCTTTAGCCAAGCAGCATGTCGCGTCAATCCGCAAGGATTTTCTCCAGATCTACGCTTAATGTTATGTTGTGTCTGAGCTCGTTTGAAATGAGACAACCTGCTCTAAATAAATTTGTGTGATTTACTCTGGTTTACTAATGTTTCGTGAGGTTACAAAGCAGAAAGTGGCACAAAAGCCTACTTTTTACGGTTTTACCAATTTACTCCTGTAATAGATATTGATTATCGGCCGATGTGGCCGATCGATCTGAGCATCCCTAACTTGTTTGCTTCAAAGCAAAATTTGGAATGCTGTGTTTCACATTGTATCTGGTTGATTTTATTCATGGCTTATCATTCTTTAACAAAGACTTTTCAAAGATTCCTATGGAAACGTCCAGAGCCAAGGCCACTCAAAAATTGGGTTGCACTATATTTGCAACTGGCTACAACCCCAGAACACCCTAGCAGCCACATATCAGTATGCCATGCTTCTAACTTGAAACAATACAATTATAAAAAAAAAATATTCTTATGTAAATTATTCCATTCCAAGCAAGAATATCATTTTAAAACTATTCCTACAGAATTTTGTTCAACTTGTGTTTCATGAATGAGGTCAATTACTATGCTGGCCACAAAACAAGCTCACATGCCCAAAATTCCCTCCAAAATGTTTCATGCTGCAGTACTTTGATCAATAAATCCATACCCAACATTCCCTAGAGCATGGCCCTTCCCCCAAACCAAACCCCAAATGACCACCCCCCATCCCCCTACAGCCAGAATATCTAATGATCTCCAATGTGTCTGTCCATCTGTCTATGGTATAACTTACACACACACAGAAAGATAGCGTAGCCCTGGGCGAGGCGTGTCCTACTTGGGCTGAACTTATACTTCTCCAATCTAATCATAGTCTCCTGCACTATCTGAGTGTCCATTAGGTTTGACTCAGGACAACGCCTGTTTATTACAGCCCCCAATTGAATCAAAGATAATCCAATCAAAAGAACAATTTTTTAGCTTGCCGGCGAACAGAGCCTACAGGGCCAAGACAAAGCAGTCTTAGTTATGTGCTTTTGCCTTTTGCTCAATTTTACAATATCCTCTGGGCTCTTTTTGTGTATATTATTTTGGATTGGTTTTAGTAACTAATGACAACCTAAATGGAAAATCTGTAAACTTTTCCCACAAATGTATTACTACACATTTTAGTAAAACTTTATCAGACAAACAAATTAGCCAAAATGTTAAGTAATCAAACATGCAGGAGATGTGTAGAACTTTCAGTGGAAAGTTTTCCAATTCTGTGGAAATGAGCCCAAGATTCCACACAGTCCAGCTAATGCTATAACTAACTTGACCCTAAATTAATAGTTTTGTGGAACATATAAGAAGATAATTTGAAGAATGAACTGTTTTTATCCAAATCCATAGAATGAAAGTTATGGAAGCTTGTTTCCACCACTGAATAAAAAAAGAAGAACAAAATAATTGCGACTTTTTATCTCACAATGGCGTGTTATAAAGTCAGAATTGCGAGATATAAAGTCAGAATTGCGTGATATAAAGTCAGAGAATTGCGTGATATAAAGTCAGAATTGCGACTTTAAATAACACGCAATTGTGACTTTATATCTAGCAATTGTGACTTTATGTCTTACAATTCTGACTTTATATCTTGCAATTGTGACTTTATATCTTAATTGCGACTTTATATCTTGCAATTCTGACTTTATAACTCGCAATCCTTCTGACTTTATATCTCGCAATTCTGACTTTATGTCTCACAATTGCGACTTAAATCACACAATTCTGACTTTATATCTCTCAATTCTGACTTTATATATTGCAATTGTGACTTTATATCTTAATTGCGGCTTTATATCATGCAATTCTGACTTTATATCTCGCAATTGCGACTTTATATCACGCAATTCTGACTTTCCATCTTGCTATTCTGACTTTCCATCTCGCAATTCTGAGAAATAAAGTCAGAATTGCGAGAAGTAAACTCACAATTGTGAGAAAAAAAGTCAGAATTGTAAGATAAAAAGTCACAATTTCCTTTTATATTTTCCATTCTATGGCGGAAACAAGCTTCCATAGAAAGTCAATGAGGTTCAACATTTTTCAAAATGTCTTTGTTGCATGCATTTTAGAACAACATGAGGGTGAGTAAACAATGAAGGACATGGATTATCTCTTTAAATGACTAACTTAAACACAGCAACACTTATTCAAGCAGAACTTTATATATAGACCATTTTGCAAGATGTAAACAACACTGGTCCAGAAGCACTTCCTGTTTCAGTTTTTTAACACTACATAAAAGCTGGGATAAAATACAACCAACAGAACATTTAAAACTGAATCAAAAAGTTAAACAAACATCTTTAAGATGTTTTCTTTACATGTGAGATAAAGAAAACAAATACAAACTGAAACAGGAAGGGTTTTTGGACCAGTGTTGTTTACATCTTGCAAAATGGTCTATACTCACAGTAAGTGCAATCTTTTATGTAAATTGCTGTATTGAATTGCATGAATGCCCCCCTAGTATCGCTGTTGACTCAGTCCTTCCCCGGCTTATTGTGGCTCATTTGGAATAACAACTACATGATTTTATGCACTTTTAACTTGCTTTAGAAACCTCTTATGCCATTTCACATACTTAAACAGCTTTTTAACAACTAACAGATTTTGTAATTGTCTTTTTCCCTTTCCTCCAACAGAGGTAGATTCTCCTAACAGCTCGACCTCTCCTCCTCCTCCTCCTATTCCATATGTTACACCTGCCCCTTCCCTTCCTACTTTTTCATCTCCTGCTCCATCAGTTGTCTCGTATACAGACAAGTCTCAGCCCAACAGTCCTACGGAGAGCGTGACCACGGCTGACCCTGGGCTGAAGAGACTCCACGGCCTGAGCGACAACCTCATTCCCATCTACACCTCCATACTGGCTGCAGTGCTGGTGGGCCTGGTGGCATTCATCATCTTTAAACGGTGAGGAGGACCAGAATTATTCTCTCCCCGTGATGTTTTTTTATCTCCACTCAAAAAGCACATTGTTATGAAGGCTTTAGTTCAGCTATTTTTACAACGGAAAAAAGGGAACAAAACGCTTCTAGGCTGTTTTTCCATCTGATCCATCACGAGTGCATTTATATGTGAGGTAAAACAAAGCCAGCCAACAAAACCAACAAAACCTCAAGTGAATATGACAATATAATATTCAAGAGAGCATATTCAAATATGCAAAATAACAACTAAATGTTTTCGAAGACTGATAACAAAATAGAAAAAAATTAAAAGAAGGCTGTTTTGTGAGCAGACACAGAAAGTTGTGGAGGAAGGGGTCATAAATATTAAAAGCACTGCTGGAGGGTAACATTGACCCGCTTTGGTCCCTTTAGGGTGTGAACATCCTGGTGCTTACAAGTCATTGTTTGTTTGGGTGGTCCTACATCTCAATTTCTGGCTCGACCTATGGGGCGTGTTTGGGCGGACTAGATCGTCTGAAGAATGGCAGAAAGTGGAAGTGGAGTTAGGGTGCAGAAATGTCAGACTTCAGGTTAGAAGTGAATATTGATTTTAGTCGCGTTTCTACCGCAGGAACTTTCCCCAGGAACTAGGAGCTTTGGGGTGGTACTCTGTGTGTTTTGCAGAAACCAGGGTCTAAGGCGCCATCCACACTACTGCGTTTTCGTTTAAAAACAGATAAACGAATACGATCTCTACCCACACCAGCGTTTTATCGGGGTATTAGAATTGATCTCAGTCCACATTAAAATGACTGAAAACGCGGATCACGTGACCATTCTCCAAGACTGGGCATGCGCGTGCCGGTGTAAACAGGAAACGGATTGACATGTGATGGGTGGCTGACGAATCAGGGAAGGACACGACTGATGACACCCAATCATAGAGCCAAGCGTGAGCCTCTACGTCATCATTTCTAAAGTCCTCCGTTTTGTCTTGTCTTTACTAAAACGCCCTCCGGAGATTCAAAACGCAAAACGGAGCTGCAGCATTTCTTAAACTTCTCTGTTTTAAGTCTTCGTTTTTTCCGTTTCATGGTGAACGTAGCAAAAGGTCTCCGTTTTTAAACGAAAACACAGTAGTGTGGACAGGGCCTAAATGAACTTCCTGGGGTAAACCTTTCCCCCTCAGAAAGTCATGCTCGTGAGGTAGTACTTTTTCAAAGTTCAGGAACTTACAGGGTGGGACTTGGGCGCTGAACATGCTGATTGGTTGAGTTCACGCATCATTTGGATTGGTTGACTCCTTGCAGCATTTTATTTCAACTACCATTTTTTAAAATCTGTTGTGCTGTGTGAGAGTAAGAGTTGATTGCTATTAGAATCAACAATGGAGTTTAAAAAATATGACCGAAGGACCGACGTCCAAGGGGGTAATCCATCAGCCGGAAACTGAAGCCGCCATTGTAGCAGAATTTCACCTGCTGTTAGCATCCCATTGACTCCCATTCATTTTCACGTCACTTTGACAGCGAATAACTTTACATCTGAGGTGTGCAAAGACTTAATTTGTCCATTATTTATTTCTAAAGTAACACGACAATGTATAAAAGGCTCAATTACTTTGTATCTTACGTTACGGCCCTGTAGAAGCCGTTTTTGTAAAAATAGGCTAACGATTGAATCATAATCACGCAACTTTCTGTTGCACAATTGAGACATTACCGTATAGACATGAGGAGAAGCTCGATAACAATATTTTAGTGTCTATGAGGCAGGGTGACATGGAGGCATAAAGTCAAGGAGAAGCCCATAGATAGAGTCCATAAAGCAACGGGACAACATATTTCAACAACGTTTTTGAGGAATTAGGGGATTCAAATTTGTCTTGGCACAGCTACTAGAAGATTTACAACTGTCAGACTGTCGTCACGTTCAGTTTGAGCCTGTGCAGTCGCTCAGACATCAAACAGGAAGCGCAATAATCAGGCTTCAGTCTTCTCCGTTGAAATTAATGAGGTCGCTGTGTCCATTTCTTTTACTATCTATGGTGACGACATGGTTCAGGCTTTATTAACCTTATATATGCAGAGGACAAAATCCAGCGGGAACTGGACGCGCACAGTCCTACGTCACCGGGCCAATAAGCATAATCTTCATGGTACTTTAGAACGCGATGGGATCGCAGACAGCAACAGGATCTTAGGACAAATTGTTCCGGGTAATTTTGCCATTTGACAATACAAACTTCTGATGTTTGCCTTGATGTCTTTCAGGTGGAACAGTTGTAAGCAGAATAAGCAAGGAGCAAATAACAGAGCTTGCAGTGCAAACCCCAGTCAGACTCCTTCTCCGGAGGGAGAGAAACTCCACAGTGACAGCGGCATCTCAGTGGACAGTCAGAGCCTGCAGGAGGGCCAGGGGCCTCCACATACAGGTACAAACCTTTAGGTCAGGGTTCGGCAACCCATGGTAATCGCTGGCAAGTGCTTGTGAGAGGTGTTTTTCATTCAGATAAAGTACCTCACACCTGCATACAGATCTACATTTTGAGGTAATCATTTCTCATAGTAACACAGCTTGTTTTATTAAAGGGACACTCCACCCATTTGCATTTAGCTTTCCATTGTTAGAAATCCAGGCTGAGCATTGCAATGCAATATGGGGATTGTTGTCTACAATCCATAAGCTCTAAAAAGTAATTTGTCTTTTATTGGCCAAGAAGGACCCAAATTAGAAATTTGATGCTATTCTACTATATGACCCACTTTCAATACATATTCATGTCTCCACCGGTGGAATTACCCTTGAGTGCTTATTGTACCTTTGAGAAAATAATTAATTAATGCTATATATTTCGGAGATATTCAACTAATATAGAGTCCTATTAAACATAATTATGTTGATGTGCAAACACTGTTGTAGTGGGGTTCAGTTGGGTCACATTGGAAATCTGTTATCCAAAGACTAATTTAAACCTGAAAACAAACCAAGTTGTAGGAATTTGACATATTAAATGTCAATATGCTTGTGACATATGCTTTAAGGTTCTCCACTATTTTTTTAGGTAACTAAGAACGTTTTGTCATAGCATCAGGTTTCAACTGTAAAGTGTGTTAATCTTTCGATTAACACATTTATGAACTTTTAAAATGTGGTTATTTATTTAACTTAAATTGCACTTCATGACAACATTTTTGCAGACCTCTAGCTTAGGTCATCATAATATATACATACAGTATATAGACAGTTTTTCTTTCTCCTGAAACCAACCAAATGGCAACAAACCAGTGACAAGACAATAATGATGATTCATAACAATATTATAAGCTGTTGTCAATCCGATCACACAAATCCCTCTGTAACTGGCACGGAAAATTAAAGTCGCTTTGCAAAATGTGTATCCCCAACATTTTATTATGTAAGCTTTATGTTACACCTGAAATGACAAGAGGCTATAATGTTCATTTTAATTAACCAGTCCCTGAACTGTTTCCCTCAAATGACTTGTGAATACTGAGCATTCGTCGCTTAAACGAACTGCATACCACACACCTCCTGGATGGTTCGGTATGTTAACAGATATGACAATGTTAATGTATTTGCCCTTGACGGACTAGATCTGCTACGCTGCTGCTGTTGCAGAGCAAATACGGAGAAATGCTTCTTTATAGTCTTGTTTTAATTATATCAATCCAGATGGCTAAATGTATTCTCTTTGTTTTAGTGGTCAAGATAGATGGAAGTTCAGCCCTGTCCTTGCCCTTACACACACGGGAGGAGGTTGAGAAACTGCTAAATTGTACCTGTGAAGGGGAGGAGTCAGGGGCCAACGAGGAAACCGATTGGTGCAGTCTGGCAGGGCTACTTGGATACAAAGAAGAACACATTGCTAATTTCAAGCAGGAAGAGAGGCCCATCCAAGCCCTTCTGTCCCATTGGGCGAGCCAGGATTCAGCTAATATTGATACGCTTTGTACAGCACTGAAGAAGATCAATAGGGAGGATATTGCGCAGAGCATCACGGTCAAACCAACTGCTACATCAACCGTATGAGAGAACAAACACAAAATCACACTTTCAAGTTGTGCTCCCAAATACTCCCCTTACATTGCCTTCAGCATACTTCGATCTCGATGCATCACTGATGAAGTTGTATCACTATATTCTTAACTTTAGGCTGTAAACTCAAGTGCCGTTTCCCTTTAAACCCTCGATTATGACCAAACTATGTGCAAATAATGCATTGTTCTCTAAATATTGTTTGCATGTTCCTTTAATTTGAGGAAAGTGGACTTGAACATGGATATTCATGTTTTTCCTGAAGATATTCAGGAGAAATGACTCAAAATCAGTCATTTTACATTTAACACACTTCAATACAGCAAATATACAAACTACACATCACATCCAACTTTATCCTACCAATAATTACTCTTGATAGGTTTTTTATTTTCATTCTAAAATTCCATTTGTCTGCCTCTATACAGTATAGAAACTGCTATGTAACATCCATAACGCATATGCTAATGATATGTCAAATGTGGCCAGTTTAGTCATTTGCTAAGTGTACCATATCCACTGATTATATCGCATCAGAGCTTGACCCCTCATGTTCACAGTTAATGCTCCTGTGCTTTAAATACAACCAGTGAGAGGATGAGGAGAAGGACCAGTCATAGAACAATGAAAAATATAAATCACAATGCTCAATATGGAGGCTGTGGAAATGTTTTTCTGTTATGTGAGCTAAAGAAAGCTAGATTTATGATGCCACTGTTGTCAGTTTATTGCTGATTTGATTGTAAACTAAACCATGAACCACGATTTACTACTTGCTATTGCTACTTGTGCCAAGTAGTATTAGGTGTCGCGATTTGGTTGGATGGCAAAAAGAGTTGTAGTGAAGTCTAAATGCTAGCGATACATTTATTAAATGAGAACAAAAAGCACTCTTGAACACAGGAGAACACTGGAAACCCACAAGAGCAAACCAATACATTGAAAAGATCAGACAAAAGGGAACTAAAACGCAGGTCTATACACCTTTTTCTTACGCCCCATGACGTTTTGCAGGAATTATGGGAGAACCTACATTTTAAAGTTCCTGGAATGAATCGTGAGGATTTGGGGAGAAAAACAAAAGATTCTTTGTGCTTTCCAGTAAATTATTCTGAATTGTAAATTAAAGGAGTAGTTCACTTTAAAAAAAAAAAAACTTTTGCTGATAATTTACTCACCCACGTCATCCAAGATATCCATGTCTTTCTTTGTTCAGTCGAAAAGAAATTAAGGTTTTTGATGAAAACATTCCAGGATTTTTCTCCTTATAATGGACTTCAATGGGAACCAAACTGTTCAAGGTCCAAAAGACAGTTTCAGTACAAAATGCAAACTGTTCAAAGGGCTTTAAACGATTCCAGACGATGAATAAGGGTCTTATCAAGAGAAACGATCGCTCATTAAAAAAAATATAACAAAGTTTAAGTTTTATAAGCTCAAATGGTCGCCTTGCTCTGTTCTATGATGTGCGTTCGTGACTCTCCTGTTCGAACTTGTTTATCAAAATGAACAAATCTTTTTTCGAGTCATTTGGTTCATTCAATGACCGAAATGAACGAATTGACTCGGAAAAAGATTCTTTAATTTTAGAACTTTTTGAGTGAAACTTCCCCAAACCAGAAGTGCCTCCCATAATCTAAAACGCAGTAGGCTCATTAGGAAAAAGGTGGATGTAAATAGAGCAAACAAGCAACTAAACAAGACACAGGTGAACATAATCAGAAACTATATAGAAACAAACGAGAACCTAATTAAAATGCACGACAACCAAGAAAAAAAGGAACTAAACTCAGGAACTACGGGAACCGTGGAGTGAAATGAAAATCAAGAGAAGTCCCTGAACAAACATTGACAAAATTAGATAGTATGGAATTGTGACATTCTCTAGCATATATTGTGTACATTTATGGGTCTTTGTAGCAACTCCGCCATGACTTGCCAACTGTATTTCTTGGTCAACCCAATCTTGGTAACATTTAGGTAAGAGTTAAACCATCAGATGTGATGCAGAGAGATGAAATGGTAGGAAAAAAAAAGAGAGAAACATCAGAGAGGGGTCAAACTACAGGAAGACACTGTCTCTTTATCTAGATCTTTACAGTTTCAGAAGATGTATTTGCCCATGGGTGATTGCAAGGTCTTGATATGGCTTAAAATATAGCAAACAATCTTACTTAAAGGAGTAGTTCACTTAAAAAAAACAAAAAAAAACTTTTGCTGATAATTTACTTACCCCTATGTCATGAAAGATGTCCATGTCATTCTTTCTTCAGTCGTAAAGAAATCGAAAAGTCGAAAGGTTTTTGATGAAAACATTCCAGGATTTTTCTCAATATAATGCACTTTACTGGGCACCAAACGGTTCAAGGTCCAAATGAGAGTTTCAGTGCAAACTGTTCAAAGGGCTTTAAACGATTCCAGACGATGAACAAGGGTCTTATCAAGCAAAACGATCACTTATTTAAAAAAAAAATAAGCTCAAATGGTCGCCTTGCTCTGTTTTGTGATGCGCGTTCGTGACTCTCCTGTTCAAACTCGTTCATCAAAATGAACGAATCTTTTTTTCGTGTCAGTTGGCTCATTCAACAAACGAAATGAATGAATTGACTTGGAAAAAGATTTGTTCATTTTGAACAGGAGAGTCACGAGCAAGGCGAGCATTTGTGCTTATAAAACTTAAACCTTTTTTATTTATTTTTTAAATGAGCGATCGTTTCGCTTGATAAGACCCTTATTCATCGTCTGGAATCATTTAAAGCTCTTTGAACAGTTTGCGCTGAAAGTATCTTTTGGACCTTGAACTGTTTGGTTCCCACTGAAGTGCATTATATGGAGAAAAATGCTGGAATGTTTTCATCAAAAACCTTAATTTCTTTTTCGACTGAAGAAAGAAAGACGTGGACATCTTGGATGACATGGGGGTGAGTAAATTATCAGCAAAAGTTTTTTTTTAAAGTGAACTACTCCTTTAAAGTATGAGCAATAATGTAATTGATGGCGACATAAACAGACACCACTTAAGTATTTTCATTGTATGATGTCTGCATCTTTTTGGGCAGGTGACTCAATTAATAAGCAGGAGGTTTTGTCGTCCTGGTGGTCCGGCTGAAAGACGATAGCGGTTTCTTTTTCTTTCTTACTTTTTTCTTTATTATAGCGGTAACCAGACACTGGTCACTACCTGGCTCAGGTCATCACCATGACAAAAGCACTTGGCCATGCAGTCTGTGACCCACATAGAAAAATGTTAAAGACACAAATACACCCATAAACACAGAACAAAGAAACAAGCTTCCCTGTAAAATTAACCACTGACTGATATGACCGTCAAGGGTGATTAAACGACTCTTTTGAAGGCATAATACAGGGTTCCCACGGTCATGGAAAACCTGGCTGAATCAGGAAATTTTAAAAAGTGGATTGGTCGTTGATTGGTCAGAAGTGTGGGAACACTGAAGGACTTCAGAACCAGGACAACTCACTTTATTGTAATGTTGGACTCTAAGATTCAGCGACACGTTAACCAAGAATTGAAGTGATCCGACTGATTTATTGGTGATACAGTGCTTTTTTTTGATGACAAGTAAATCAATTCAAAAAGAAATCTCCAGGGATTTATAATTTCTCAGGGTTTGTGTGGAGATTTGCTCATCTGTCAATGTCCCATGTTTAGTATCAGTGGCCTTATAATGGAGTGTTATGGAAGCACTAGCTGAAGTTAACTTCAGCACAGACATTTGGACTCAAAAGAGCTTTTTTACAAGTATGAAAGAAGGTCAGTTTGAGAGGGGAGAGGTGTTGGATTTACTTGTGCAGAATATAACATTAAAATTCAGTAGCTGCATGATTGTCAGTATTCATAGATCCTTGTGATGTCCATTCAGTTTGAAAAGCAATGCAGCTGTGTATATTATTAATATTTTTGAATATTAAATACTGATTAACTTTTTTTTGGCTATACATTTTTTGGAACACTTCAAACATACTGTAATTTGTATCTTAAAATGAAGGCATTCTACATTTCTGGTGTGATTGTTTTCTCTTTTTAATTCACTATTAATTCTTTTTTTTTTTTTTTTTTGTAGCACTTACAAAGTATAATATACATTTGTATAACAAATGCCTGAGATTAATATCAGGTCAGTGTTGTTTTTGTTCTGTTTAGTATGTACATAATTTTGCTTTGTGTAGGATAACAGCTTTCATTTTGTCTTTATTCATAGCCTCAGAGGCTTGTTGCTAATTTTTTTTATGTTAAATAAAAGCCAACCTGAAACCGCAAACACAAGCTCAAAGAAAGTCACATGATTTGCTTACTCAACATTTTCCTTTATACTGTTTTGCCACTATTGTATTGTATAACATCATCTTTATTATTTGAACAACATGCAAACATGTTTTGGTTTAAATTTATCTGCAGGTAATTTTTTTACGCAATATCGGAGGACATATCTCTGAGATGGATGGTCTAATTTGGCACATTGCTCTCTGACAATCAACTTAAATATACTTGTATAGTTGCTGGAATATGGAGTTGATCAGAAACCATTCAAGACTATTGAAAATCCAAGAATCTTGCACTTGGTGGAGGAGTGTTTGTGAGATGAGTGTGAGGAGCATGAGAGGTTTTGTTGGGCTTTTTTGGACACAGGTTCTGCAAGAAGAAACCATACTGAATGTTACTTGTATTTACTGTTATGTACACTGTCTCATATAAATGTGAATTTACTAGAATTCATCAAGTAGGTTTAATGCAGTTACTATTACAAACAAGAAATAATAAACTAAATAAGATTGCAACTGTACATTTGTCTCATGTTTTTTTCACAATTACACACAAATATGCTGCCACTTTAAATAAAAGTTTTCTTAAAATGTTAAAAGTGTTAACATTTGTTTAAAATGACTTGTTTTAAGTTTTCACGTATCATTTATTTTGATGAATTTCACTGGTGTTTCAGGTCTCCTAACACTATTGAGTTCATTTGACCTGTAGTTCTCACATCTGCACAAATGTCTCTGAGGATTTTGGGTATTAGGGAAACTGTTGACTCAACGGATGTCTTATCCCCCCTGTGATGTTCAGTTCTGGGCCAATAAACAGACTGTCATTGGAGCAAGCATTCCTGTGTGTGTGTGTGTGTGTCAATGTGGGGACCTAAATCGAGGTCCTCGCGAGGAAACAAGCTTATATATCATATAAGTTTTCATTTCAGTTTTTTTAAAAATGTAAAAATTCAGAAAGTTTTTTTGTGATGGGTCGGGTTAGTGTAAATGGAAAGAATATACCATTTGTATAGTATAAAAACCATTGTCTATGGAGAGTTCCCACAATGACTGAAGGATGTACACTCACCTAAACGATTATTAGGAACACCTGTTCAATTTCTCATTAATGCAATTATCTAATTAACCAATCACATGGCAGTTGCTTCAACGCATTTAGGGGTGTGGTCCTGGTCAAGGCAATCTCCTGAACTCCAAACTGAATGTCAGAATGGGAAAGAAAGGTGATTTAAGCAATTTTGAGTGTGACATGGTTGTTGGTGTCAGACGGGCTGGTCTGAGTATTTCACAATCTGCTCAGTTACTGGGATTCACACACAACCATTTCTGGGCTTATAAAGAATGGCGTGAAAATGGAAAAAACATAGAGTATTCGGCAGTCCTGTGGGCGAAAATGCCGTGTTGATGCTAGAGGTCAGAGGAGAATGGGCCGACTGATTCAAGCTGATAGAAGAGCAACTTTGACTGAAATAACCACTCGTTACAACCGAGATATGCAGCAAAGCATTTGATGAAGCCACAACACACACAACCTTGAGGCGGATGGGCTACAACAGCAGAAGACCCCATCGGGTACCACTCATGCCCACTACAAATAGGAAAAAGAGGCTACAATTTGCAAGAGCTCACCAAAATTGGACAGTTGAAGACTGGAAAAATGTTGCCTGGTCTGATGAGTCTCAAGTCATTCAGTAGAGTCAGAATTTGGCGTAAACAGAATGAGAACATGGATCCATCATGCCTTGTTACCACTGTGCAGGCTGGTGGTGGTGTTGTAATGGTGTGGGGGATGTTTTCTTGGCACACTTCAGGCCCCTTAATGCCAATTGGGCATCGTTTAAATGCCACGGCCTACCTGAGCATTGTTTCTGATCATGCCCATCCTCTGATGGCTACTTCCAGCAGGATAATGCACCATGTCACAAAACTTGAATCATTTCAAATTGGTTTCTTGAACATGACAATGAGTTCACTGTACTAAAATGGCCCCCACAGTCACCAGATCTCAACCCAATAGAGCATCTTTGGGATGTGGTGGAACGGGAGCTTCGTGCCCTAGATGTGCATCCCACAAATCTTCATCAACTGCAAGATGCTATCCTATCAATATGGGCCAACATTTCTAAAGAATGCTTTCAGCATCTTGTTGAATCAATTTTTGTTGTTGTTCCTGTCCTGAAGTCCCTGTTCTGTCTTTTGCCTTGGATTACATGTTTGTAAATTAAAATGTGTGCTTGCATTTGGTTTGTGCTTCCTCCTTCTTTGCTGCCTCGTTACATTCACAAGTGTCATTTTAGTAGAAATAAAATGACTAATTAAGTAGAATTACTGAAGAAACTTCACCCAGCTCCAAATGACCACAATAGTCACTCTTAAAAAACACCATATACATAGGCCATTGCAAGAGCTTAAAAGCTTACTTGCATTTCTTTCTTTATGTGTTCTTCTTTTTATGTGTTCTGGAACTATTCCGCTTTTCTGTGCTGTTTTCTAAACTAAAAATAATCAGTACAATTCAAAACTTTTGAATAGAAAGATATTGCGAACAACGGTTTATAATAATTTACTGTGCTGTATCCTAATACAAAAAACCTATTTTTAATGGCATGTAAACAACAAATAAAAAACTGTGACTGATGGCTTTACACATCAGTCAAGCATTCTCTTGGATGTTTCTTGGCCAGAAAGCCCTCCAGTGTGGACCAGACTCTGATATGCAGATAGTTAAAAGCCTGGATACATGAGACAATTTCCAAGCACCATATCAGTTTTGTATTTTTTCCTTCGTTGACAAAAACAGACAAATAAACATGTGGTGGCCATGCCATGTAGTGCTCTGGAAGGCATTTACTAAATTGGAGAGGAATGTGTGTTTGTCTTTTTTGGGTGTACGTTTTTGCTCGTACTTCTCTTTGCTATTGAGCGAAATAATCGGGATCCCTTGACTCCTGATGCAGCATGTGCACAGCCAAAAGATTCTGAAGTGCAATTAAAGGACTGTGGTTTGCAGACCAAACAATAAAATGGTTAATAGTGCATTAACCCTCTGGATTTCCTGCTCTTCCAACCAGTGTTTGATACAAATCTGGCCTCATAAAATCTTTATTGATTCAATAATAAGAGGGAGGAATATTCTAACCATGACTGAACTTTACTTGTCAATCATTTAAAATAAAGCTGTAATGGTAACAATATAGATGTGTGCAGAAATCTTTGGCAAATGATAGTATGTGTGTTTCATAAATTCTGGTAGCAGTGCCGACCGCAGTTATTATTATATAAATCTCTGCTGGAGATTTTCCTCATCTTCAAGTTCCTCTTGACTCAGTTCTTAATGACATTTAAGAAAAGGGAAGCTGCAATCAGGAAGTGTTTAATATATTTTTATAGTCTTTCACCGTAAGTTCCTTTGACATCCATTTCAAAATTACATTTCAGTCAGGAAACTGAGGAAGCACTTAGATTTCTTTTTATAGCCTTCCTGATTTTAAGATTAAATGATTTTTATAGATTAGAATAGATTTTTGGTAACTGGAGGAAAAACAAAAAATGCTGCAATTTCTCAGAAACTACTTAAAGCATTTTTGAAAAGAAAAGAAAAAAAACTTTAGGATGATAATTTTGGGGATTTGTTAGGAGTTTAACTGATAACATTTAAAAATATACAAAATGTAACATTTTGCATTGCACAATAACTCAACAAAATTGTTGAAATTCAATATCATGCTTATAACATCAATAGAAAATAGTTTTTGCAAAGAAAAATACAAATATAAAAAAGAGACTTTTGATCTCATAATTCTGACTTTATTTCTTGCAGTTCCAAGTTTATAACTCACAATTGCAAGAAAAGTATGAATGAGATATCATATCATATATTATATCATTTTAGTAATGTAACAGATCAACAGGGCAAAATGACATATGAGTCAAAGAATTTTACTCAAGGGTGATAACCTATTGTTATTTCTAGAGTTTATGAATAACAAAGAGTTATTCCTAGATCCCTATGGAAATGTATGAAAACTCTCAGGCTTGAGCAGGCCTAAAACATCTGTCATAACCCCTTTCTCTGGTATTTACTATACTCCACCCTCACGAGAAACCTACTCAACCAGTTGACTGACAATCAAAACCTTTCAACAACAACAGAAAAGTGTGACAGGGCTTAAACAGCTTTTTTTCTTTTGGCATCAGTAACATATTATTAAAGGCACTTTCATAGAATTGGTCGATTATAGTTTGTACAGTTTGATGGAAGCTGTTTAGTTTAATGGAATGCTGGGCTTTCATATTTCAGCTCAGTCTGTTTTAGTTTATTGTCTTGTGTACTAGGGCACTAAAGCTGCCAGAAACATGTTTGCTTGTCCTGTCATGCCACTCCTGACAACAGCAGAAAGCATGCATAAACACTAAATGTAACACAAGTTACATTTTAGATAACTGAATTGATGTCTGTAGAAGAAGTCTCTGTCTGTGTGTGTCCTGTGACAGCTCTCGACTTCACATGAGCTCAGAACAGAGAAAGAGCGAGCAGGACTGGGTCTGGATGTGCACTTTTATCAGTGTTTGTAAGGAGTGAGCTTCCTGTTTTTGAACACCTGCCTCTCACTCATTCACATAATCTGCTCTTTTACTGTAATCGATCAGTTTGTAAAAACAAATAAAAATCTAAAAATAAGACTTACAATCAGCATCGGGGCACATTTGATAGGAACCTAATGAAGTATTTTTGTTTAGTCAGTAAAATTCAAAAGACTTTTGTCATTATATAATTGCTAATACCTACTCTCCCCTCATCTTCATCTTTCTTTTTATGGAACCTTGTACAAGCTTTGAAATTTGAAAAGTAATTTTAAATAATATTTTAACGCAGTTGGTGAAATTGGCAGACATTCTCATCATGCGATGTGGAAACAAGTTAAAGCATTCTCAGGGATAAGCATTAATGCACGTAGGTGATTTTGAACGAATATTTAATGTTGATATACACTGTAAAAAATTTGGAGTAGGATTTACTTGAAAAAACCTTGCTAAATGATCTCACTCAGAAAATGCTAGTAAATTTACAAAGATTTGCCAAGTAAAAACCTAAACATATTTATCAGTAGCTTTAATTAGAAATCTTTTAGTTAAATTTACTTGGAATGTGAAATTAAGTAAACTTTACAAAAAATAAGTAATTTTAAATCGGCTTGTAAAAGGTTGATTAATACCGATTTCCTTTGCCTTTGTATTACACTTCACTAAAACAATTATCTTGAATTTTATTAGTCATTTATAGTATTTTCTTTACTTAGATCATCTAAGTAATTTATATATACATCATGTCAGACTTTAAGCCTTATGTGAATGCAAACACCTCAATACTTGGTAGACAATACACAATGGTGGTAACATTTGATGGATCGTTTTTGTGTTTGAATGTGTCGTTTTAAGCAAAAAATTTACTCGAAATGTCACAAAAATGGCAATTTACTAATACTGAAAACAAAAATCAATGATAAAACAGTGTAAATACAGCTGGAAACCAGTGAAAAATGAACCTCATTAATTATTCAAGGTCCAGTGCATGATGGGAACCCCAGTATCAGAAAAGTTGAGTAATTTTTACTTAATTTTATTGAGTTGATATTACACTTTCATTTATACTCGCTTGAAATAAGTACTGATATGGAATTTACTTAGTTTTTTAAATTCTTGCCTGAACTAACTTTTTCAAGTAAATTACATTGGGTTTTTTCACTAGTATTTATTTACACATTTTTTACAGTGTACAATGGTTACATACTGCAGGTTAAAACTGATCCTGCTATTGATACCTTTGTAATACTGCCAACCCTATAGAAGAGTGGCAAGAGAAACCAAATGTCCGGCGAAATATCAAACCTTACAGACTGATCTCATGAAGTAGCGTGTGTATGACACGCCAATTCGCATTTCCATTTTTGGCGTGCAATCAAGACGCATAATCGCTTTTCAGCGCGTTTATGAACGCCGTTGACTTAACGTTATTTCTGTATATAAAATATATGACTTACCTCAACCCTGTCCCTAAACCTAACCGTCACTGGAGTTAGTGGCATTTATGACTGTTCCCCTACCATCCTAGGAAAAAAAAAACATAGCTCCCCAGATGTAGATGTACATTCTGCTTTGTTTTGCTCGGACATTTTACAGACACGCGGAATGACGCGGACGTTAATGGCGTAGACATACACGCGGACAGCTCAAAATGCGTCAAGCTAACACGTCACTTGACTCGATATTGGCGTGTATGTTTACGCAAAAGTCATGATGTCATGTTGAACCTTACCGCACTCAACCACCATGAGTGCATTTTACGCATTTGTATTCGCTCATATTCAGAGGGCAGGAAGGGAGGTTGGTCGGTCGGTTGATCGGCCCATATCGGGACCAGTGAGATTCATTGAAATTAATTAATCTACTTATTTATTAATTTATCTGAGGTGCCGGGACGCAGTTCGGAACCATTCCGACCCACTTTAACCCCTGACCGTCGCAATGATCATCAGTCATTAACTTAGGGGCCGCTAACACTACACCGTTCTAACAGAAAACCCTCAATGTGATCCGGCACTCATTTGCACAAAACAGAGCCTGGTGGCTCGAGAAAGCAAACCATGAAATAGGTTCCAAGGAACAAGACTTGAAAAATGTATAATACAGAATTTTGTATCACTTACGCGTAGCCACGTGACGGAGGCCTTTACAGGGGAGAGACTAGTTGACACTTCAGGACTGCAATGTCGTCATGTCCAGGCGCAGGTCCTTCATCAGATCTGGATATGGTCTGGATCCGGCGGACTGCGTTAAACAGAGAGACTAATATTAGCATAGATGCCATCCTTCTTATTATGCAACAAGAACATCAGGATTTATAGGAAGTGTTCCCGGTTCCGGCTGACCTAATCTATGCAGCCTAACTATAGAAGTCTATAATGTGTTACGTGCTAGGTCAAAGAGATGTGTTTTTAGTCTAGATTTGAACTGACAGAGTGTGTCTGCTTCCCTATGTTAGGAAGACCGTTCCAAAATTTGGAGGCTAAATAGAAAAAGGATGTACCGCCAGCAGTCGATTTTGATATTCTACTGTAGGTATTATCAATGGCCAGAATTTAGATTCGCAATAAACGTGACAGACTATACTGTGTTATACACACTACAATACTATAATATAACATATAAGACTATAATACTGTTACACATTTGTCATTGAGAGTATATGATGTAATTTAGATTAGAGCTGTCAAACGATTAATCGCGATTAATCACATTCAAAATAAAAGTTTGTGTTTACATGATATAAGTGGGTGCACGGTGTATAATTATTTTGTATATATATTTGTATATATATATATATATAAATACACACACATGCATGTACTGTATATTAAGAAAAAAAATGTATTTATTTATAAAATATTTATATATAATATAAATTATACATAAATCTATATACATGAAAATATTAATATATACTGTACAAGCATGTTTGTGTATTTATATCTAAAATAATTACACACAGTGCACCCACATATATTATGCAAACACAAACTTTTTTTTTGAAATGCGATTAATCGCTTGACAGCCCTAATTTTGATATGTTTTTAAGATGGAAAAATGTGGTTTTACAATTTCAAATGAAAGATTGGTATCAAAGAGCACACCCAGGTTCCTATCTAATGATAAAAACTTGACAGAGCAGCCATCATGTGTTAGACAGTATTCGAGGTTAGTTTGTGAGGAAGGTTTTTTTTGTTCAATAATCAGAATCTCTATTTTAGCAGAATTAATTAGTAGGAAATTACTCATCCAGATTTTTATATCAGCTATGCATTCTGTTAATTTTGTGAATTGGTTTGTCAGGGTGTGAAGAAATACAGCTGAGTATCATCAGCATAACAGTGAAAACTAATGCCATGCTTCCTAATAATATCTCCAAAGGGTAGCATGAACAGAGTGAACAGCAGCGGTCCAAGTACTGAGCCTTGTGGTACGCCATACTGAACTTTTGATCGATAAGACATCTCTTCATTTGCTGCTACAATCTGATAACGGTTAGATAAGTATGATTTAAACCATTTCCACTATTGCCAACAATTTTCAAGCCGTGGGGAGCACAAGCCTGACCGGTTGTACACGGCGGTACTCTGCGCTCCCAAGCAGTACACACGTGTGTCCCCACCCGTGATAAATCTCGGTTCCCCAAAGTGTTGTTACAAATGCAGTGCAAGTTCCCTTGAAAGGGAACGTGGATGTTATTTACTTGTTCAGATGACATTAGGGTGAAAACCCTACTTCCAGACTGATCTCATGAAGTAGCGTGTGTATGACACGCTAATTCGTATTTCCATTTTTGGCGTGCTATCAAGACGCATAATCGCCTTTCAGCGTGTTTATGAACGCCGTTGACTTAACGTTATATAAATATATGACTTACCTCAACCCCGTCCCTAAACCTAACCGTCACTGGGGTTAATGGCATTTATGACTGTTCCCTAACCATCCTAGGTAAAAAAAAGATATGACTTACCTCAACCCCATCCCTAAACTTAACCGTCACTGGGGTTAATGGCATTTATGACTGGAGATTTGACTGCGTGTTCGGACACGCGGAATGACGCGGACGTTAATGGCGTAGACATATACGCATACACGCGGACACACGCGGATAGCACAAAATGCGTGGAGATAACACGCCACCTGACTATGTATATGTGCATATGTAGACTGCGTATATGTTTATGCAAAAGTCATGATGTCATGTTGCTACTTCCAACAACCCTACTTGACCAACAACCCTCCTTGTTGGTCATACTTCCAAAAAGTATAATCTGTGATGTACTGAATAACAGTATCCACACCGCGCCATGACTGACAGCCGCACATTCTCCTCAAAACATTGTATTCATCCCCGCTGTGCCGTGTCGAGGTACAACTCACGTAAAGTTGATAATTCCACAAATGACTGCAATTGGGACAAAGAGGAAAAACTGTCCTACAAAAACCCAATCTCCATAAGTGACACCACAAGCTTTCACTGGAGATATTCCATGGAGGTTATCTTGTGCCTTTTCTTTTTCTGATTAATTGTTGAACCTTATACTCCTGAGAATGACAGACACCTAATTCTAGAACTCTAAATAAGAGCAAAGGAAATTACCATGCCACAAAACAAAGACTGGTGTGTATTTGACACACAAGTATCATCTAAATAAATGACAGATTTATTGCTGTGAAAAATAGAAGAAGCATTGTCTTTTATTAAAAATGTATTTTGTCATTAGATTCTAATGCACTGCAGTGGGTGTTTGTGCTTCATTTGATAAGGGTAAAGAGCATATCAGTAAAGACCTCAGAGACAAATTGAGTTCCGCATGTATCTATTTCCAGACTGTACACTGTCTCAATGAATTTTATGAGTCTGACTATGGCTTTTAGATATCTTTAGGCTCTAAAAGCCATAGTATCAGAGTCATAGGAAGAAATGTACCACCTACGTAATATTCATTGTCTTTTGTTTTTTTAAAAAAAGGCTTAACACTTTAACTACAAATATATTAGATGGTTTTTCTTCCGATTGTTATAGGGTCAAATAAAGTTCCCTAGCTCTCTGGCCTCCACCCTCCTTCCGAATAAGGATTGAAATTAGATCTGATTCACAGAGATTTATGGAGGAAATGATCAGTCATTACTAACCTGATTTTGTTTCTCAGTCAGAATTACTCTTGAAAGCAATTTCTGAGACAGTCATAATGCTCTTTTAATACTAATAGAGTGCAACGGTGCACACCTACTTTTTCAGCAGCTTTGATTCCGGAATTATTTTTCCTATACATTTTTTCCTATTTTTCCTAGGTATTTTTTTTTTCAAAAGTCTTCTTTTAAGAGCTATGAATCAATCATGAATCAACCATGAATCAAATCAACCTATGAGGTAAAACACAATATTAAAAACTTTTTGAAGCAAAAAAGTATTTGAAAATAGGACAAAGAAACAAAGGTACAAGTCAAATCAAAACCTTAATTTATACAGAGCTCAGAGAGAAAATAGCGGCACAGTCTAGCTTAAGTGAGTTCAGTGATGGTTAATTTCTGTTGTAAAAAAGTGAATTAATTTATCCCTATAGCTGCTCTAGAGAAAACAGTGATGTCATCCTCCAGCTCAGTTCAGTTCCCATGGTCTCAATGTAGGCATATCAATAATATTGTTAAATATTAAGTGTCCCCAACTAAGCAAGCCAAAAGCGGTATCAGGAAAAAAAACCTGATACCTGATAAATGATAAAAAATAATGTCTCTTGGAAACATAATGTTCTGTCGTGGGTTAATTCTGTTGTTGTGGCTTAAAAGTTAATCCTCAAGTGTGGATCATCGTCTACTGTCTGCGATTAGGGTTGGGTATCGAGAATCGAGTATCGATTGGAACCGAGACTAACTTTTCGTTTTTCCCGGAATCGTTCAAAAGTTAAAATTTTGATTCCTAGTTTCCGAGCGGAAGAAGAAACCGCTGAACAACACCAACGAAGAAGCGTCTACCGGAAGTGTTGGCATAACCACGCGAGTCGAACATGAGTACCTTACGTCGACGATCCAAAGTGTGGCTTCACTTTTCTAAATTAATTTGAGAAAATTTCCTTCAGAAAGGATTATTTCCTTCAGAAAGGCCATTGGTTAGCAAGGTTAGCTAAACTTTTTTGACCCTGCCTCTTAAAAGAATCGGAATCGAGAATCGTTAGGAACCGGAATCGAAACAAGGAATCGGAATCGTTCAAATTCAAAATGAATGGAAGTCAATGGGATGCTAACAGCAGGTGATAGTACGCTACAATGGCGGCCCCCGGAGGCAGCTTCAGCTTCCGGCTGATGGATTACCCCCTTGTTTCAGGGCACAGAGCAGAGGAGAGCGCAGCTGACAATAATGGTGAAGTTAATAGGGACTTTAAGCAACAGCTGCTGATAGAACGCCGACGGCAGCCGGAAATAAACAGTTAACTGCCGTAGCTAAAGAGCGCAAAAATCACTAAGCAACAGTAAAGAGGACGGCATAGGGAATAATTTAATCATCAGACAAAATACAAAAAGAAAGTGATTTTAAAAAGAAAGAGAAGGGTTGATTTTAGCACTTAATGATATACAGAACGATTTCAATGCCACATAACCTAAAACATAACATTAACTGTCTTAATCTGTCACGTAGTAACGACTACGGCAAATCAGCTGTTCTCCCGTAGTAGACGGTTACAGACAGTAGAACGTCAAGAAGAAGTAGCAGTTAATGTCGCGCATGCGCAATAGAACGCCAGAATGCCGTTGCCGTTCCACCAGAGGCTGTTGCTTAAAGCCACAATATGTATTTTTTCTGCATTAAAAATAGCAAGAATAACTGTATCTATGTTATATATTTCTGTTAGATATGTACTTACATTATCCCGACAGTTTCCACCAAATTTCAAATACGGAGAAATTTATAGTTTAATTCGAAGACACGGGTGACGGGACGTTTCTTTATTTCCGTTTCGTCGCCCGTCTATGGCGTCATATAACCTTTGACTCCTCTATTTTCTCTAATTTCCTTGCGAAACCTGGCGAAACCGCCAAACACAAAGGGGAACACTGGACTACCGCCAATAAAGCAAAGAAAATGACGAAGAAAAAAAAGTAGTACGTATTTTTATGTGTGTAAATCACGTGCCCGTTCACGAGCGCTCACTCTTAACAGACACACTGTCCCCGGTGCTGCTCGCGCATAAAGCGCTCCCCGTTCACAGTAACCGGGTCGTCTCATTCAAATCAGCCAACTG